CACTCCTAAATCACAACAGTCATCGTCTCGGAGGACATTTTCAATACACCCATAACAGATCAGAGAATCACACAAACACGTAGGAGCCACTGGTCCACACATGTCCATAAATGTTCATAAACACATACATTGCTTCTCAGACTGGGCCTTTCTGAGTGGAAATGCACAATATCTCCCCTCTCTCTGGGGCTAGGACTCCCCTCTTCTGGTTTAATAAAGGTCAGTACATTTTTGCATATCATGACAGCATAAATTGGGGGAATCTCCCTTTTTAAACCCACATTTTAATGAGTTTTAACGCTTTTATACTGCTGTTTTAATATGAAACTATTGTATATTTAATTGACTTTTTCATTTTTTATCAATATTTTTATGCGTCTTGATCTGTGGTTTTAAATGTCTCTTAGAATCTAAGTGGCTATAAGTGTGTGGCACGGTGGCTGAGTGGATAGCACTCTCGCCTCTCAGCAAGAAGGTCCTGGGTTCTAATCCCGGTCGGAACGGGCCTTTCTGAGTGGCTCCCTGTGTCTGCGTAGGTTTCCTCCGGGTGCTCCGGTTTCCCCTAACACTAAAAACATGCACAATAGTTATGAATGGTGTTGATTGGGGGCTGATGAGCCAGTGTGTTCGGCGACTCGCTCCTGTCATCGCCGTTAATGGAATGTGTAGGAGCCATAAGTTGAATATAACAGTGGGCTGTGGTTTGATTGGGTGATGTGCCGGGTGTGGGTCACGTGGTTACTGGGGCGGTGTCTACTTAGTTCTCACCTCTGTTTTATGAATGAAATCAGTAGTAGAGAGGGGGGCTGGGTCGCCGTAGTTTTTGTTGACCGTTCGTTTGTGTTTGTTTCTTTTGTACCTTCGTTTTTCTCACTGTTTCGTTCAATATCAAGACGTCTACGTTATGTTATCACCTCATCCGTGTTTCTTTTCATTAAAACGCCATCAAACTTAATCCCTCACAAAGTGTGCTCTGTGACAGCCAAGCAGCGCGTCATACAATTAGACTAACCCGGTTTCTCCTCTCCAGCGACAATAGGCACTAGAGTCGCTACAGAATGATTGGAACAATATCTGAACATTGTAAAGTGCTTTGGGTGACCTTGCTCTGTAAAATGCACTATATAAATAAACATTACTAACTTCTGTATTTTAACTTTTGTGTGTTTCATTTCTTGAGAAGGGTCAGTCCATGAACAGTGATTCTAACTCTCACCTCGGTCACACAACGCCCACAGAGGGACTACTGTTACTGTAATCTGATTAGTCAAACCCAGATTAAACCTCTGCATTCCACCATCATTAGCGTCCTCCTCAACACAAAGCACATTCTTCACCTCCTATTTTTATGACACGGAAAACCGAGAATGTTTTGCTGCGTGTTTTCATGAACTCAATCATTCAATAATGAGGATGAGGAGAAATAATCAATCATTTTAGTTTCAGTACGTGATCAATGTAAGACATGTTTATTTGTAAAGCACAAGTAAAGAAACAAGGCAGAGTGCGTAACAAGGTAGACAAGGAATTAAAATCACATCTTAAAGACATTTTTTTACTCAAGATCAATCAGTGGGGCTTTGATATAAATTCTGTGGCATCAATTAAAACTATCTTAAAACTCGTCCGTCCGTGTGGAGCAGATCCCTTTCTCAATATGTGGGTCTCCCTGAGGTTTCTCACTTTTTTCCCACTGGGGGTTTGTAAGTTTTTCCCATTCCATGTCGATGCAGGAGGGTCTGTTGGACAGTCTAACAAGAAGGACTGCGGGGATCCAGGACACTTTAACATTCTACAAAAGTATAGACATTTATCAGCATTTTCTCAATATTCTTTTTGTGTCTTAACAGTTGATTCTCTGATCTGTGTTGGTGATTTCAATGGTTTTGTTAAGTCCTCTGAGATGATACTGTTGTGATTTAGCAGCAGTGTTAGCAGAGATACCCAGACTTCCCTCTCCACACACACTTCCTCCAGCTCATCCGGGGGAACCTGTAGCGTTCCCAGGCCAGCTGAGAGACACCGTCCGTCTGTGTCCTGGGTCTCCTCCCGGTGGGACGTGCCCGGAACACCTCCCCAGTGAGGCGTCCTGGCATTCCAAACAGATGCCCGATCCGCCTCACCCGTCTCCTCTCAATAAAGAGAAGCAGCGGCTCTACTCCGAGCTCCTTCCATGTGACTGAGCTCCTCACTCTACATGTGATCGGAAACTAATTTTGACCGTTTGTATCCGCGATCACGTCCTTTCGGTCATTACCTAAAGCTCATGACCAAACTTGAGAGAGCAGAGAGCAATGGATCTAGACTGATTTTCTTTTTCTTTTTTTTTATTCATAGTGCTTTTTAAGGGCAAAACAGTAGTATAGTCTCCATTTCATCGCCTAAGTCTTTCTGGTTCCAAGTTCCATCAAAATAGCCTCCCCTCAGGGCCTCCCTCAGGGCCTCCTCCTGGGACAATTCTGAGCTAAATCCAAAGCCTGCCTTCCCCCTTTTAGCCGCGGCCTCGGGTCTAAAACTTTCACGTTACATAAAGAGCTCAGGTGGTTTCACGGCTGGTTCTTTTGTCTCCGGTGTCCAGTGCTGCTCCCAGCTCCAGGAGGGCGAGGGCATTCCTTCTCCATGTGCTGTCTGTCAGATGTTCTCACTATTCACAGACCTGTCCCGACACGCTGCAGCCACGCGCCTTCACGAACACACACACACAGACTCTGACGCACACACACACACTCTGACGCACACGCCATGGACACAGAGACAAGCTCCTCCATACATGTCAACGTTAAGTGGCTCTTAATAGCATAGTGGATTTGTGAAAAACTAGATCAACAAGTTCAATGAGTAAGAATCGGAAGCACAACATCACAACATATGGAGACTTCACAGGCTGCGCTGAGGAGCCTCATGCACGGTTTCATTTATCGTCTGGAAAAGTCCGCAAATGTAATATTATTAGCTCTGTAAAAAAAATCACACTAATATGGCTGTCTTTTCAAGTCCTAATTGTTTGTTTGTTTGTTATTTTTTGTCTTGTCTGTATGTTTGAAATTGGACCTAGAGTCTGTATTTAAGTTAAATTGAATTGAATGAGCATTTTTAGCAGGTTTTCTAGTCTGTAACCGTCTGCATATCCTGTCAAATGTGGCATATTACCATAATTATTGACTGAAATACTTTTTGTTTTGAGAATTCCTGTAGAAATGAGCTCTACAATGTCCTGAAAGTTCACATAAATTTTGTCTTCTGCGTTTTACCTGCTGAACAATTTGACTTCTTTTCAGTGTTTTTCAACCTGTGGGCCGTGGTACGTTACTGTGCCTTGAGATGTTGTTTGGAGAGACTTTGAAAATGATCAAATATCAACTCTTTGGTCAAAATAATGTTCAAAATGTTCCCACTGAGAGACAAAGAACGGTTTATTGTCACACTTTAGTTTCGCCCTCACTAGTTAACATATAATTAAGTGTTAATTAGTGTATAATTTATGGGTAATTAGCTATGAATTGGTATTTATTAGGGATGTAAATCGGCGACCGGTTAACCGGTGGTTGACCGTCACAGCGTTAACCGGTCAAAGCTGTCGGTTAAAAAAGAGAAAAAGGGGAGAGGGGAGGTCTCTTAATAACGCTATTTTAAGCCCTATTTGCACGGTGTGACGAGCGGGTCTGTATCTAGCTGTGTGCGCCCATGTATTATAAACTCCGGGACGACTCTCACGCCGCACGAGCCACATATGCACACACGCGCACACACACACACACACACACACACACACACACTTTCCCCCTCTCCATACGTAACATCCACACGCATCATCTCTCCCCTCTGTTACCGTCAAAGTTGCACACTGGCGCGGGTCAGAACTACATTGGAGCTTACATTTACACACACACATATACATACACACACACATACACACACACACATACACCGGTCTGTCGCGCTCCTCTGTGTCACGGAGCCCAAAGGATTCGCGCAAATACACGGCTCCAGTCAAACCACATGGACCATGTTTGTGTTTATGGTCCTCGGGATCAGCTCCACACACATCACTTGTATTTAAACTTTTGTGAAGACCTGTGAGACGCGGCTCGTCACTCGCTGCTCTGACCATGTGAACGAGCCGTCGTTTGCTGCTAGAAAGTTTTGGTATTAACCCGCAGCAGAGCAGAATGGGAAGATTAAAAAAGCAGTTCTCTGTGCGCAAAGGTGCCGGAGCTGTTGCGGGTTTGGGCGCCGCTGTCTCGGCTCTGATCCAGTAGAACGCAGAGCTGCACTTATGAAAAGTACGCGGCTCGAAATGGCTGTTATTTCAAAGAACGTGGACTATTTTAAACTACGCGGTTAACCGGTTTCAACCGGTTAATGAGGCTCGGTGGTCGGTCATGAAAATTCATAGTTTTTTACATCCCTAGTATTTATTAAGCACACATTCTGCTAATAACTGACACTTTACCATATGGGTTAGGGTTGGGGTACTTTAGCACTTTATTCAGCTGTTAAATAGTGAGGGCTAATTTAAATAATGGGTTAATTTAAATTATGTGAGAATATTTTAAACAGTTTTTTGTGCTCGTTTGATTGTCTACATAACACACTTTGATGAGAGTGACTGCTCCAGAGTTTATATTTTTGTATCAGTCTCAGCTGTTGGTGCGACGTTTTGATTGACTCCTGTGAAAAGGTTGAGGAACACTGACCTATTGTGCACGTTTTTAGACGTGGGATTCAAACCCAGGACCACTGTGCAGAGCGGCATTTACTGTAATATTCAGGTTAAAATAAAAAACGCATGCCAAGTTGGAAGCTTAACCGCGAGTTTGTATAAATCAGCATGAGGTCATAATTTACAACACAAAATTAAATTCAAAAGTCTCCAGTGTTTGTTTCACAAGCTTAAGTCCAGGTAAACAAAATATCTGGCAACGTTCCCTCTTTTAAACAGGATTACTCAGAGGGGGGGTGCTGTACTTGTGCTTTGCCTTCATAGTTCTTTGATGGAGTCATTCGAAACGGAGCAACTCTTTGAAACCCGAGGGGAGACTGCTGCAGACCTGGACCACTCCGGTCTCACAGAGCAGACCCAGACAGACCGTCAGGATGGAGAGACGTCTGCTGCAGTTCAGGATCACTGTAACAACAACAACAACAACAACAACATGGGACTAAGATCAACAATATTTATTTTGTACTTCCTCTTCCCCTCTGAAGTTAGATGAAAAGTGAAAAGACGTCTCGCTTAAAACGCCACTGTCTGATTTACTCATTAAAGTAAAAAATCCAATGATACCAAGTTTTACAAAGTTGGTGAAGTTAACATAGGTCTAAACGTTCTGAAAAGGATCAAAAAAGGAGCAAGGAAAGCTAAGAACGAGAACCACGCTCGCTACAGCTCACCTGGACGCAACGCATACAGAGGAGGAAGAGCGTGAATCCAGCGACAAAGAGCGCCCAACAGTCGCAAAAGCTGAAGAAAACGTCTTTAACAAAACTATCTTTGACATGCTTCAGAAGATGTCGGTGGATTTATGAGTTAGAGGCCATAAAAGAGATGGTCTGTGGAAGAAAATGTGTTTCCGGTGCAGGTTTTGAAATCAATAATTCAATTCCAAATGGGTTTGCCTTGAAGCCGTCATTAACACGTTTAACTGACACACACATACGTTTGCATATATACATACTACACAAACAGGCTACACTGCAAAAAATGATAAATGTGAGCTAATATTTGCTTGAATCACTTTGCTTTGTCCCAATGGGGAGTAAGAGGAGTTTATGGTTTCAATGTACAGGTGAAACTCAGAAAATTAGAATATTGTTAATATAAGTTCATTTATTTCTGTAATTCTACTTATAATGTGGTACAGACTCAACATTATCCCTTAGAAGTATCTCACTCTGTATGTAAAGAGTCTATCTTAGATCAGTCTAACATTATAAGGTGAATTACAGAAGTAGAAACCTTGTCCATGAGCCCTTCCCTATTCTGCTTCATTGAGCCTATCTGGTTTTCTTCGCCCATTCCTTCGACACAGTCTGCGGTGAGTACGAACCTCTGATGGCCTGGCAGTTGGACGTGAGGACGAAGAGTTTGATGAGCGCGAGGCAGAGCGGGGAGTAGTCGTGCTCCCAGATGACGGTGGGGACCAGCAGGACTTTCCCGTAGGAGGACAGCAGCAGTCCCTTCAGCAGCAGACCCAACTCCAAAGACTGGCTCTGGAGGCAGGAAACCAGCAGCCACACCACCAGCAGCACCCCCCCACAGAACGCAGACAGTTCTGGAACATTTATGGACATTTGTTAAAGGAGCAGTATGTAAAAATCTGGCCAAAAGTGGTACTGCAACCTCTCCCACTCTCCCTGACTCAGGTTGCCAGATATGCAGACGAATCCAGCTGGGACCATAATATCAGAATAGACAAGAGTTTTGTAAAATCTATAACCAACACCTTTTTCACACAGATAGAAATCCTGGTTTTATTTAAATACTTGTTTTGTCATGAATGATTTGAGAATCAAAACGAGACCTTTTTTAGTTCTGAGGCCACATGGTACTTTACCAGTGAGATTAGCTCGATGCGGTGAGTTCTGGCAACCCGGATCACGGACTTTCTGATTGGTAAAAAACGGTGGAGGGCGGGACATTGAAATGAAAACAATAACAAGATTTAGGGGCTGTAAAACTACTTTTGAAATCCAAATATCTCTGAACTACTGTTATCAGTTAAAGAAGTATTCTAAAAGAGCATTATTTTTTCACGCCTTTTGACAGATTGGACATTAGTCGTACCACTCCCTCCGAACCAATGGCTCCTATGTGTTTGTTATGATTGCATTTCCTTGTGTTCGAACAGGTTGATTCTCTGATCTGTTGTTGAGGAATCGACAACCTTTGTAAAGTCCTCCGAAATGGAAATGAATTTGAATCTCAAACAGCTTCAAAATGACAACATTTAAAGGCAACAATCAGCTAAAACACACACAAACTTAACTTTTTAGAGTAAAGTTTGGGTCAGCTATGTAATAATATATATTTTTTAGTTGAGAAAATAAGGGAATTGGTTTAGCCATTCCTTTGGTTTGACTACATCCCTAATATTGCAACAAATTACGTGGCAAAAACTATGAATCACATAAAGAATAACAAAAACCATGTGTATGGCTGGGAAAGAACAAGATGTACTTGTTTGTGTTCTCTATAAAGTGAACCTTATAGCTTCATCTAAAGCTAAAAATGTTTTTATTTTACAACAAAATAACAAATCTCTCTTCTCTTTCAGTGCTCCTCAAAGATATCTACACCAATATCATCTCTCATTTGTTACTCATTGACAGTAGCGGCCTAATAATTCATACCATGTAACTTGTGCTTTTCTTACCTAGGGAGGCCAAAAGGAACATTCCATAAAACTCCCACTCTTTTGTGTATCTGATGAGGTCTGCCGGGTCACTGCTCTGCTCTGAGGAGTGGAGAAGGGACCAGCGGAGGTATGCCTCGCACAGAAGGCAGAACACACACAGCTTCCAATGGATCTGCAGGAAAAAAAACCTATCATTTACAAGAAAGAACACGGAACTAAAATCATAAAAAGTACTTGTTGAGTTTAAACTGCACCAGATAAAAGTTTTCTCCAACATATAGGCTAGGTTTTAAGTAAGTAAGTAAGTAAGTATTCTTTATCTAGAGGCATTTACAGATACATACTTCTGTCCTGTATGCTGCAAAATTAGAATCATAATAGGAATAGGAATAGGAATATAACACAGAACAAAGAACATGAGAATAGACCGTTTCATCGTCTGGTTTGTCGTCTGGTTTGTCGTCTGGTTTGTCGTCTGGTTTGTCGTCTGGTTTGTCGTCTGGTTTGTCGTCTGGTTTGTCGTCTGGTTTACGGTCAGGTTTACGGTCCGGTTTACGGTCAGGTTTACGGTCAGGTTTACGGTCCGGTTTACGGTCAGGTTTACGGTCCGGTTTACGGTCAGGTTTACGGTCAGGTTTACGGTCCGGTTTACGGTCCGGTTTACGGTCAGGTTTACGGTCGGGTTTACGGTCGGGTTTACGGTCGGGTTTACGGTCGGGTTTACGGTCGGGTTTACGGTCGGGTTTACGGTCGGGTTTACGGTCAGGTTTACGGTCAGGTTTACAGTCAGGTTTACAGTCAGGTTTACAGTCAGGTTTACAGTCAGGTTTACAGTCAGGTTTACAGTCAGGTTTACAGTCAGGTTTACAGTCAGGTTTACGGTCAGGTTTACAGTCAGGTTTACGGTCCGTTAAGTATTGTAATATATTCAACTTACATTCAGGCTTGTGTTGAACAAAATGTGTCTAAACGCTTGAGTTTTGCACAAAATGGCATCAATGAGGATGATCACCGGGTCATACTCTATGTACTTGTCCACAGGCTTCTGGCATGACTCCTGAAACAAAGAAAAAACACAACATTCTGTTTATACAAGATTTCAGAGGATGTTGGCGTTACAGAAGGGTCCAAACTAAGATTATTGTTACCAGATTAATACTAGGACTGCAATGGTGATGTAATAATTTATTGAACATTTTTAGATTTTCCTCCAATAATGTATTAGATGTTTAAGTGATAAAGGCCGATTTTGTCTCAACTGTCCAGGGAACGCCTCAGGATTCCCCCAGATGAGCCGGAGGAAGTGTGTGTGCCGATAGAGAAGTCTAGGCGGGGGCAGAGATGGATGGATGGATTGATAGATATACATTTTGTTTGTCCCAACAGAAAGAGACTTGAGACGTGAACAATTTTAAACCACATTATGACTTTATCTGATTAGAATAGACATTGTTTCTTTTACACACTGAGAGCTGAGTGATGGCTGGCACTCTTTCACTAAAAGGCTGATCTCAAAGTGAACGCTATAGATTGAACCAACTAACTAACTTTGAGAGCTAGGAACTAGTTGCATGGATTTCATTGCAATAATTTGAATAATTTTAAATCCGCATCATCTCTGCTCTGGCATGGTCAATTCTGTATGCACAACAATACACTCTGATCTATCACACACATTTACAGCTACCTCCCATCCCTAATACTATTCTCTATAATTTGACTACAAAACACAATCAGAATCTTTTTATTGCCATGTGAGTAGCAAAATTCACAAACTAGGAAATGGCTTTGGCTCTCTTTAACCAGTAAAATCAGAATATAAACTGGTATAAATGTTACGTACACATATAGTTATCTTCAGGATGCCGTTGCTGTAGTCTCGGTGCAGTTCTGTTGCATTTTCGTTACATTCAACACATCTGAAGTCCTGCACTTTCCCCATTCCTCACTGTAAACAAACCACACGAGCCGAGAGTGGTCCCGGAAGCAGCACCTCTGAACCTGGGATTACACTCTACCGCCCCCGTGCGTGAGATACGGACAGTGCACTTTAAGAAGGCAAGGCAAGTTTATTTCAAAAGGTTCATACACAGTTTATGGTTCATACACAAGGGAACTCAAAGTGCTTAACAAAATGAGCTAGAATCCTCCAAGGCAATAACATCATAAATAAAATAAACAAAGTTAAAGTATAGTTTTAGTGCGTTGTTTGAAAAGTAGTTTAAATCTTGATTGAAAAAAATAAAAAATAAAACCTTTTGTAATAACACAAATTTTACGATGCATTTCCTCTGGTCTAAAATCGCTATTTTTGCTGTGCTGTTTGAATATTCAGTCTTTCTGAAAAGCAGTTAGACAGCCCAGGTGCATTCTGGGTTTTGTAGTCAGCAGTGGGGAAGAGAGCGTCTATGGGCGTGTCTTGGGCTCGCTCCGTTTGACAGCTCAGGTGAACGCTGGGATATGTAGTCCACAGTGGTAAGCGGGGGGGGGGGGGGCGTATCTTTGACTCTCTCTCGGGTTCGGTGGTGAAATCTCCCCGCTCCTTCCGCCCCGCGCGTCACACATGCACGGAGCCCGACATGGCGCCTGCGAGCCGGGCGGTTGTTATGGTCGTGCTGACGGTGCTGTACCTCAGTGGGACCGTCCTCTCCACCGAGTACTTCTCCACTCTCACCCTCTTCAACAGCGAGCTCCACAAGCAGGGCTGCAGCTCGCTCTCCGACTGGGAGGAATACACACAGGACTGCGGTAATGTGTCTGCAGTTCACCCGCTCTCTGCCACGTCCTCCTCGGGGGAAACGGAGTGACTTTCCCGGGGCTAGCTTATCCTCTGCTTCGGGCTAAAGCGCTACTACTGCAGAGAAGATAGCGCGGATAAGCCGAAGTCGTGGTGTTTTGGGTGTGAACGTGGTGTCAAACTGCCTGAATAGCATGAAAAGAACCATCCAATATGAAGTCTATTCATTCTTGCATTTATAGCAGGGCAAACGTAAAACAACCTGTCAAACCCAATTAGATGTATTGCAGCTTATTTTAACCAGTTTTAGAAAATGCAAGCTATCTGATATCTGATATTTACCTGTTATTAGTATTACTGCATTATTACTTATCCATCTGATATTTCTGCCATACACCATTCACCAGTCACTTTACATGTTGATATTATTTCTGATGTTTACTCTGCTCATATTCATATTCTACGCTGCTAATGTACAATATACACATCTGTAAATACAATTTTAGCCCCAGAGTCTATCTTATTTTATTTTCTTCTTTATCTTTATTTTATTGTCTATTATCTAAAATGTTAGACTTATTTGATATGTGCAATCTGAGTGCTCTTATTTCCTTCTTTCTCTGCTGTAATGTGCACAACGGTGACACTGAAATTTCTCCACTGCGAGACGAATAAAGGTTTATCTTATACTAAATGCAAACATGTACAGCTTGATTATATGCAATCCTGTACCACTTGACTAAATGATGTGCAGACCGGTTTAGAACTAATCTTGTATAACTACGATAATATTTTGCAATTATTGAATATCCTTTACATTAACATCAGCATAGTATTGCATGTCATTTTTGATCTCAGAACTTGTTTTTGTTTCATATATACATTGTGTTCGTCCCCATAGAAAAAAAAATGTTTGAGGAACATTTTGTGAACAAATCAAACCACATATTTGAAAAAAACGTGTTATCTTTTACATACTGAGAGCTGATTGGCTGAGTGAGGGCTGCTTCTCTTTCACTAAAAAAAGCTGATCTAAAGATATGACAAAGTTCTTTCACAGACCACTTTACTAAACCCAAGCCTGTCCTACTCGTCTAAAAGCCACAAAGATGTAATAATCTCCACCATCTACACAAAACATTAGATTTAAAGCATTCAGGAAGGTCTTAGGTTCTCTCTTTTTGCTTCTCTTTTTGCATTTATACAAAGTGTGTCAATTTTAATTTAGTCTGTAAGGCTTGAGTAACTAACTTTTATCTTCCATGAATACTAGATGGATAGATAGACCTATTATTTTACTGTGTTTGTGGCAACAGAAACAAACTAGCAAAACAAACTAACCTGAGAGCAATGAAGTAATTACAATGATTATTGTAGTTACTTTTTTGTGATTTGAAAACTCCAGATTTAACCACATTTAAAATATTTGCAGTAGTACTACCTGTGATCGCATAGTATTTGACTGACTCAATCCAATTGTTGTTTTTAAAGGAGGAGTAACGTTTCAAATTCCAATAGTGGTTTCATTGTGATGTTTGCGCTGCACTGTTTGGAATCATTGGCAAAGGGCACCAACATTTACGTGTAGAAACCTAGTTGGCTTTTTCAGATGAATTGCACGGTCTGTAACAAGCGCATAGCTCAAAATAAGATCTTTTGGATGCCTGAGGCGGTATGGGAGATATGTGGTGTGTGATATACTATCTGTCATCTAAGCCTGCTGCCGGGACGGGGGGGGGGGACTAGGAGAAAGACTGGTACTAACTATGCACACATATTTTTTATTTTTTTTTATAGAATCGTCCATTTTGCAGCTGGAGGACCCTGATTGCGAGGAGGGGAGCAACTCACCGTGTGAATCTATCTTCTCTCTCAATGCAGAGAAGATCCTGGTGAGATCATTTCATTAATGGACACACGCATACGGCAGTAGTTGCTGGAGTATTAAGCTCACCTGTAAACAAACGGTCAGCACTAGATCATATACGGAATCAGGATGGAAGCGGAAGTAAATATAAAAAACTACCTATTCATGCCTAAACTTAACCAGCCATTCCCATAGAATAACCCCAACCCAGCCTTAACCCTAAACTTAACCATCTTAATCAGACGCCTAAACTTAACCAGTCACCACTTAAGGACTTATTAGTCTAAAACTAGTATGATCGTTACTTCCGGTTTCGTCCCGATTCCGTATATGATCTAGTGCCGACCGTAAACAAACCCCTCCAGATTTAACCTGCACTGTTAAATATGCACTTGAATATTGTAGTCATTTCAAAAGGAGAGGGGCATTGTACCAGGGTGTAGCAGCAGTGCTAATTTACACCAACTCGATTGCACCAAAGCAAAATAAAAATACACTATTATAAAGCAAACATGTGAATCAACCTAATTCAGCAGATGATTCACCTTCATTCCATATTTCTTACTTTTTTATCTTGTATTTTATTTCTTAATACATACACTCATATACACACACACATAATGTAACTGCTGATGGATCAAAACAAAGCCAAACTGTTTGAACTTGACTTGTGAGTGATCATCATTCAGGTGAAAACATTGTATTTTGACAATAAACATGCTTCCCATTCTACTAAAACTAAATGGAGTCAAAATGGAGATTAATAATAAATAAGAATATATAAAACACATGGGAATGCTCTTAACCAATCAAAAAGGACACAGTGGTGTTTCTATAGAGGCTGCAAGGTGCAATGTATTTTAGCTTGATATTAAAAATTCAATCAAATCAAATTCAAACTATACAAATTACCATTTTGTAGTCCAGCCAGTTCTGTAATCTGGGATCTGAATCTGGGGATGGAATTTCAAGAAGTTCTTCAAATATTGTCTGACGTACAGCAGTGTGGTGTGTTATGATCACTTTGATGATGTCGAGTTTGACAACGTTGGTTTTGTACAGGAAATGCTTTTGACACTTCTTCCTTTACGTGTGTCTCTTTTCGATGTGTGTGTGTTTTTTTTTAAATCACAGAAGCAGGCCAAGCTGTTGATAGAGCAGAAAAAAATTCCGTTTCCTGTAGAAAACCAAAATGCAAATGAAGAACTGGGTAAGTACAGCTTTTTCTTTAAACAGCCCATAAACGAATACTTTTGAATCTCTTTTGTCTTTGCAGCGATTGGTTATGTTCTCATTGGGAACGGCCTCTTTGATGAAGCCATTAAGCATTTCTCAATTCTATTACAGGTCTCTATTAAAACATTAGCATTGTTATTTACCATAAAAACTGATGTTATGCTAATCTGGTATTGTTTTGCTTCAGAGTGAGCCAGAGCTGGTCAGTGCCATCTACGGCAGAGGGATAGCATACGGCAAGAAAAGTCTGCAGGTGAGAGTGATGCCTCTTGTCTCATGTTTGTCCCTACAGCACAGATTAGAATGTTGGATAAAAATATGAAACATAAGAACTCTCAAAGCAGTCGATTTGACGGGTTTAAAATCTGGAAGTGTAAATACTGAGCTCATGTAGATTTTTGTTCTTCATCAATTTGTGATTCTTTCTCTGTCTAGACTATAAGTAGTTTATTTCCGTGCCGTTATCTATTTAGCAGATTATCTTTTATTTTGAAATGGAGTTGAAAGTAGAGAGTGAGGAGAGGGCAGCACGGTGGCGCAGTGGTTAGCGCTTGTGCCTCACAGCAAGAAGGTCCTGGGTTCGGGCCTTTCTGTGTGGAGTTTGCATGTTCTGTGTTTGCATAAGTGTCCTCCTGGTTTTCCCTAGCACTAAAAATATGTACAATACAATAGCTCTGGCAGTGGAGGAATGAGAGACAAGTGCTAAGCTCTTTGTGACTCTGCTCTGACTTACTTACCTTAACTTCCAGAGCTGTCATTTTGACTGCTCCATAAGCAATAGGGGTGCAACGGTTTGAAAAAATCACGGTTCGGTTCGTACCTCGGTTCAGAGGCCACGGTTCGGTTCATTTTTCGGTTCATTTTTCGAAAAAAAAGTTTTGTCTTTTTAATAAACACAGCTCATGTGGACTCGGCACCTGCTCTGACTGCCCCCCCTGACCTAGAAATTAATTAAGGGGAAGGAAATGGATGGATGGATGGAAGGCATATTCCATCCATCCAATTATGTCTATTTAACATAATTAATGAAAAACAACACAAAGTGCAACATAAGAAGGCACTTTATGAGGATATTTACTCTCATATATTACACCACCTTCCTGATTCTCCCGAGGAGGCGCTCCATTCTGGGCCCAGCCTCATTCACTGCATTTATTTAATTTTTGGCATTATAAGTTGTGACTTGGATATTAGTACTGGGCCTTTGTCTTCCATTCCTCCGCTGCTTGTGTCAGTACCTGCGCTGTGTGACAGTGTGACTGTCGTAGAGGGGGCGTGTCTGCAGCGCCAGACTTTTCATCTCCCAGTCTGCGGTGATGAAGTGAGCGGTTCCGCTCATGGATCTATTATAGGTTCCGCGGGACGTCCAAGCGTCAGTCGTGAGCGCAGCTGAGGATGTGCGGGAGAGTTGACTTTAGCCCGGTCTGACTGTGCGTAAAGGAGCTGCTTAAATGCCGCGGCAATAGGTGGTCGTTGAGACGCTTTTTCACTCATGTCTTTCTTGTGCCACAGTGCTTACACATCGTGACAGTTTTGTCGAATATTAATTATCAGTGTAGTTACAGTGAAGCCAAAATGCTCTCATACTGGGGATTTAAATGACGCAGGGCTTTCAAGCATCTCCGTTCCTCCGCTCGCAATGACCGCGCTGTGTGTGGACTGAACAACGCACAACTTTTTTTTCATAAATCAAACCGCGGATCACGTCTGTACCGAACCGAAGACGTTGAACCGAACGGATCACGGATCAGTGATGAACCGTTGCACCTCTAATAAGCAACACACTGTTTTCTTGCCAACAGTTATGGCCTTTTCACAAAATCATTGACCTAACCCTATCCCTAACTAGGGCTGAGCAATCTGGGGGAAGCAAATGCTGTTTCTTTTTTTCTTCCCTCATTGATTGATCCCAATTTCTTCAATTAAAAAAGGCTTAGGGTTATATTAAATTGCATAATATTTAATCTCTGAAAGCCAAAGACACATAAACGAGTCTGTTTCTAGGGCTGCAACTAACGATTATTTTGATAATCGATTAATCGGGCGATTATTTTTAAGATTAATCGATTAATCGGTTTATGTACTTATATTTTAGTTTTGCCAATTTTTTTCAAAGTAAATTGTTAACAAAGGGCCATCATCATTCAACATAGACTTTTTAGAGATTTTAACCATTTTACATATTCATATCCACATCAAAAACATATCTGGAGCTGTTTGTCGACCATCAAAACAAAACACTGACCGTTACATACTCTAGCAAATTTCACAAGGAGATTTCCAATAATGTTTTCACCATGAAAATCCTTAGGGCTTCTGAAGTAGTTTAAAATCCCGAACAAGGCTTATTTAAGTTGATAAACTGGATAAATGTTCTTTTATTTTTTTACATCTTTGTGCAAATTATTTGAAAGATCAACTTTATGCCTAAAACAGTGAGTGTGGCGCCATCTTTTGCAAACAGTCAGTACTGCAGAGAGATGGTTTAAGGTGCTCACGCAGAGACGTAGTACTCCCGTGCCAGGCCAAGTCAGTAGCGCAGAGTTTACAGGTTACTCTTCTTTTTTGAAGGTTCAAAGTAAAGTGCTCCCACACTTTGGATGACTTCGTTCGATTAGGTTTGTCTTCTGCTTTTTTCCTTTTCTTTCTCGAGCTCCACTGCCGCTTGCCTCCGCCATCTTGCTGTATGCTGAAGAGAAGCTGTGCGCGAAGCATGTGACATAAAAGGAGGCCAGCTATTGGCTATTCGCTACTTCTCCTGCTGTAAAACCTCCGGTGGCTCATTACTGCCACCATTTGGTCACCGCAGAGTTAAAATATGCACGAAATGAGCCGCTTACGGCAAAATAATAGTTATTTAGCAACTAATCGATGACTAAATTAGTTGACAACTATTTTAATAATCGATTTTAATCGATTAAATCGATTAGTTGTTTCAGCTCTATCTGTTTCACTCCTCGTCAGCTCCTCTCACCGATGAGCTGGAACTTGACTTGTACTTTGTCGTGTTTAGAGAAAATAAAGACAGAAATTACTACAGAATTATGTTGGAACTGTATTTTGTCTTTTTCTCCGCAGGATATAAAGAACGCAGACTTGGCTTTGTACGAGCTCAACAGAGTGATCACTCTGGAGCCGACGTGGCCCGAGGTGTACGAGCAGCGAGCGGAGGTACGTGTCAGTCTCAGGGTTGTGTAGTTACTGATGTGAAAAAGAGCTGGAGACATTATAGATCCCTGTAGGAAAAATGCAGTGTCCAGAAGCAGAAACACGTCCATTCATACAAACAAATGAATATATGATTCTGAAAGTTACTAACGGCAGTACATTAAAGGAGCTATTCCCGTTTCTGCAAGGTTTGAATGTTTAGCACCGCTCCCCCCCACGCTCTCATCCCACAGAGCCATCTAGTTTTATTTGCGATCTGATACATATGCTTACATTAGCATTAGCGCAACTTAAGCTATACAGCAATCACTGATGAAATGGTACAAAAGCAACGCACTGAAAGATTACCGCTAGTTCTGCGTCCGAATGTAGTCCGAGCATAGATAGTCCGAGGCGGTCCCGCAGGTCTCTCCCAAAGAGAAGTCTCTCCAGAGGATACGATGTAAGCTAGCTATGTTCACCATGGCTTGATTTCTTCTTTGATCATTTTTTTCGCTTTAGTTCCCGCTTCTCTTCCTCACTGTTGTGTCGTTTGGGCTGTTTTGCTGTGTCTGCAGTTACAGCAAGAGGAGTTATAGCCACTTATGCTAACATGCTACTGTGTTTAGCAGCGCTGTAGAGGCTAGAGGACGCAGCCTCGTTCTGTGATTGGAGGAGAGCCAGCGGCCCGCTAAAAGTCATCTCAGCACTTTGAATGGCCTAAACTCATGCTTATGCTGAATCAATGAGCTCCAGTTTTCAATTAAATTAGTTTTTAATACAAATTGTATGTAGATATACGGATTTTTATTAACTCAATAGAAAAAAAATTGGGTATAGCATCTTTAAAACCACTAGGGTCCCTGTTCTTGCTCCAACTTTCTCTGGTAATTATTGTCTTAAGAAATCCATGGTTAGTGCTCTCTGTGATATTATCTTTGTAAATCCGCATTTCAAGTCATTTCAGGACTTGACCAATCAGATGCCTTCATTCTTGGGCTGCTAAGGATAGATGGATATTCCCCACTGTTACAGCACAAAGCTAACCTCTGCGGAAGAAATATATCTCTGCGATTTCACTTCAACAGTCGTGAGTTCAGGGTTTAGAGCCTTAAAACACACAGCTGCTACTTTATGGATTTCACTTATTGCGGGTCATTTTTGGAACGTAACCCTGCGATAAACAAGGGACCAAAGTATAATGTATGTCATGAGTTATTTATGAACATCTTAGTGTCTCTGCATATTGTATAAAGTAATCTAAATCTCTTTCACTCTGTTCACTTTGCGAGTCATTAATAAAAAAATGTTGCATAAATAGTTCATATCCTGCTTTATAGTAATCACTCATTAACCATCCAGGCTGTATGTTGTGTCAGACCAACTGCGTTCGTGCTTTGGCAAGATGACTTGACAAATGCACATCTCAGTGGATGTCTCTGCGTTCACACTTGATAGTCTAAAGATAATTATATAAACGGGATTAAATATGTTTTTATGAGGACAATAGTCAATTTTACACCTATACATCTCTGACACATGTAAATAAGGTCCCTTCTTGCCATTAAAAACAGTATTCTTCTTGTATTTTCATTGACGGATAATATCAAAATGAACCAGAACATCATATAATAATAATAATAATAATAATAATAGTATCAGATCTGTGTGGAGCAAAAGAAGCATTTATAAATAATGGCTGTGGGATAAAAATAGCTTCTGAATATGTAGTGTTGTTTTACCGACTCCACTGATGAGTGTCAATGCACCTGCTCTTTTAGTTTTAGGTTTTCAAAGTGGAGACTTCTGATGTACATTCATAACATATTATTGATACATCCATCCATCCATCCATTTTCTTCCGCTTCATCCGTTGCCGGGTCGCGGGGGCAGCAGTCTAAGCAGAGACGCCCAGACTTCCCTATCCACACACACCTCCTCCAGCTCGTCCGGGGGGACCCCAAGGCGTTCCCAGGCCAGCTGAGAGACATAGTCCCTCCAGCGTGTCCTAGGTCTTCCGCGGGGCCTCCTCCCGGTGGGACGTGCCCGGAACACCTCCCCAGGGAGGCGTCCAGGAGGCATCCGGAACAGATGCCCGAGTCACCTCAACTGGTTCCTCTCGACGTGGAGAAGCAGCGGCTCTACTCCGAGCTCCTCCCGTGTGACTGAGCTCCTCACCCTATCTCTAAGGGAGCGCCCAGCCACTCTGCGGAGGAAGCTCATTTCGACCGCTTGTATCCGCGATCTCGTTCTTTCGGTCATTACCCAAAGCTCATGACCATAGGTGAGGGAGGGAACGAAGATTGACCGGTAAATCGAGAGCTTTGCCTTTCGGCTCAGCTCCCTCTTTACCACAACGGTCCGATACAGCGACCGCATCACTGCGCACGCTGCACCGATCCGCCTGTCAATCTCACGCTCCATTCTTCCCTCACTCGTGAACAAGACCCCGAGATACTTGAACTCCTCCACTTGAGGAAGGACCTCTCCACCCACCTGCAGAGGGCAGGGCACCTTTTTCCGGTCGAGCACCATGGCCTCAGATTTGGAGGTGCTGATTCTCATCCCAGCCGCTTCACACTCGGCTGCAAACCGTCCCAGTGCATGCTGCAGGTCCTGGTTCGTTGGAGCCAACAGGACAACATCGTCCGCAAACAGCAGAGATGAAATCCTGTGGTCCCCAAACCGGACCCCCTCCGACCCCTGGCTGCGCCTAGATATTCTGTCCATAAATACAGTGAACAGAACCGGTGACAAAGGGCAGCCCTGTCGGAGGCCAACATTCACCGGGAACAGGTCTGACTTACTGCCGGCAATGCGAACACAGCTCTGGCTCTGGTCATACAGGGACCGGATGGCCCTCAGCAGAGGACCCCCGACCCCGTACTCCCGGAGAACCCCCCAAAGAACACCCCGGGGAACACGGTCAAACGCCTTCTCCAAATCCACAAAGCACATGTGGACAGGTTGGGCGAACTCCCATGAACCCTCGAGTATCCGATGGAGAGTATAGAGCTGGTCCAGTGTTCCGCGACCGGGACGAAAACCACACTGCTCCTCCTGGATCCGAGATTCGACCATCGGCCGTAGCCTCCTCTCCAGTACCTTGGAGTAGACCTTACCGGGGAGGCTGAGGAGTGTGATCCCACGATAATTGGAACACACCCTCCGGTCCCCCTTCTTGTAGAGAGGGACCACCACCCCGGTCTGCCACTCCATTGGCACCGCCCCCGATCGCCACGCGATGTTGCAGAGACGTGTCAGCCAAGACAGTCCTACAACATCCAGAGACTTTAGATAATCAGGGCGGATCTCATCCACACCCAGAGCTTTGCCACCATGGAGGCTACCAACCACCTTGGTGACCTCAGCCAGGGAGATGAATGTATCCGCCCCAACATCCTCAGCCTCTGCCTCTGAAACAGAGGACGTGACGGGGGGATTGAGGAGAACCTCAAAGTATTCCTTCCACCGCCCGACAATACCCCCCGTCGAGGTCAGCAGCTCTCCACCCGCACCGTACATGGTGTTGGCAAAGAACTGCTTCCCCCTCCTGAGGCGCCGGACGGTTTGCCAGAATTTCTTTGAGGCCGACCGATAGTCATGCTCCATGGACTCTCCGAACTCCTCCCAGTCCCGGGTTTTTGCCTCTGCAACAGCCCGGGCCGCGGCACGCTTGGCCTGCCGGTACTGGACAGCTGCCTCAGGAGTCCCCCGAACCATCATGGCTCGATAGGACTCCTTCTTCAGCCTGACAGCATCCCTTACTGCCGGTGTCCATCACCGGGTTCGGGGGTTGCCGCCGGGACCAGCACCAGAGACCTTGCGACCACAGCTACGAGCCGCCGCATCGGCGATTGAGGCAGAGAACATGGTCCACTCGGACTCCATGTCCCCCTCCTCCACCGGGACCTGGGAGAAACTCTCCCGGAGGTGTGAGTTGAAAGTCCGTCTGACAGGGGGCTCAGCGAGACGTTCCCAGCAGACCCTCACTATACGCTTGGGTCTGCCAGGTCTGACCGGCTTCTTCCCCTGCCAGCGGATCCAACTCACGACCAGGTGATGATCGGTTGACAGCTCCGCCCCTCTCTTTACCCGAGTGTCCGAGACACGCGGTCGAAGGTCAGATGATACGACAACAAAGTCGATCATCGACCTCCGGCCTAGGGTGTCCTGGTGCCACGTGCACTGGTGGACACCCTTGTGCTCGAACATGGTGTTCGTGATGGACAAACTGTGACTGGCACAGAAGTCCAACAACTGAACACCGCTCGGGTTCAGATCAGGGGGGCCGCTCTTCCCGATCACCCCTCTCCAAGTGTCACTGGCATTTCCCACATGGGCGTTGAAGTCCCCCAGGAGAATAACTGAGTCCCCGGGCGGTGCACCGTCCAGTACCCCTCCCAAGGACTCCAAGAAGGCCGGGTACTCTGCACTGCCGTTAGGCCCGTAGGCCGTCACAACAGTGAGAGACTTGTCCCCCACCCGGAGGCGGAGGGACGCGACCCTCTCATTCACCGGGGAGAACTCCAACACGTGGCGGCTGAGATGGGGGGCAATGAGAATGGCCACCCCAGCTCGCCGCCTCTCCCCGCGGGAAACACCAGAAAAGTGGAGCGTCCAACCCCTCTCAAGGAGTTGGGTTCCAGAGCCCAAGCTGTGTGTGGAGGTGAGGCCGACTATCTCTAGTCGGTATCGCTCAACCTCCCCCACAAGCTCGGGCTCCTTCCCCTCCAGTGAGGTGACGTTTCACGTCCCAAGAGCCAGCTGTTGTGTATGCGGACTGGGTCGTCGAGGTCTCCGCCTTCGACTGCTGCCCAGTCCTCTCTGCACCACGCCACCACGGACCCCTCTGCAGGTGGTGGGCCCACAGGAGGGACTGCCCACGTCGTCCATTCGGGCTGAGCCCGGACGGGCCCCGTGGGCTAAGGCCCGGCCACCAGGCGCTCGCCTACGAGCCCCGACCCCAGGCCTGGCTCCAGGGTGGGGCCCCGGCTGCGCCATGCCGGGCGACGTCACTGGTTTCGTATGAGTGCTGTCCATGGTGTCTTCTGGACTGCTCTTTGTCTGACTCGTCACCCGAGACCTGTCTGCCATGGGAGGCCCTACCAGGGGCATGAAGCCCCAGACAGCATAGCTCCCAGGATCATCCGAGTACTCAAACTCCCCCACCACGTTAAGGTGGCAGTCCAGGGGGGAGATTATTGATACATATTTTTATCAATTGTCTCTTTTTGTGTGTGTTCCAGATCCTGTCTCCTCTGGGCCGCATCAGTGAAGCTCTGACAGATTTGACCAAAGCCATATCTCTGCAGCCTTCAGCTCGACTCTACAGACACAGAGGGACGCTGCTCTTCATCTCTGAGGTCTGCACCGACCCCTCAGGACATGAACCTGACACACATTCATTCACTTCAGCTCTAACTTTATCAAACTGGGTTTTGAATCCGTGATACTTAATACGCAGCAGTACGTCAGATTTTCATTTTAAATAGCATCTAATCATCTATCATTTATCTGTGTAACAAGGTCAACATATTACTACTACTACTACTACTACTACTACTACTACTACTACTACTACTACTACTACTACTACTACTGTTAATACTACTACTACTGTTAATACTACTACTACTGTTAATACTACTACTACTACTACTACTACTGTTAATACTACTACTACTACTACTACTGTTAATACTACTACTACTACTACTACTGTTAATACTACTACTACTACTACTACTGTTAATACTACTACTACTACTGTTAATACTACTACTACTACTGTTACTACTACTGCTACGACTGTTAATGCTACTACTACTACTGTTAATACTACTACTACTACTACTACTACTGTTAATACTACTACTACTGTTAATACTACTACTACTACTACTACTACTACTACTACTACTATGGTTACTACTACTGTTACTACTATTACTACTGATGTTACCACTACTACAGTTACTGACCAAGCTGAACATTCACAACCTGCAATTACATTTTAACAGCACAATTGAACTTGTAGTTTTTCATTGATAGTCTCCACAAACATGTTCTCACATCTTTCCTTTATCTATTAATATTCTTGTTATGTTAGTTGTCCTGTTAAAGTCTCAGGGCTCCACGTTTGTCTGTGTCATCTCTAAATTATATGAAAAAAACTGGCCTAAGGTATACAGTGAGAGGACCAAATTAGGGATCCCGCTTTTTCATTTCCAATACCAATCGTGATATTTGGTCTTTCACAATCTGCTGATACCAGATATGAGCCAACACCAGTGAAGCTACTGCAATGAACTGCCCCTATCACTTTCACTTTTGGAGAAATTGAAACCTCATAAACGAGCCCGTGTATAGATGCGTTTTTGATCTATTTGAAACTTAGCCAAATTCCTTCTTTCCATGTGAACTCGGTCATTTATTTATCTTGGATGACCTTCACCTTGAGATTAATAATTTCCTTTTTTTAAATCTTTAATCTACGTACACTGTTAAGATTGTGAAAGCTTTGCCAACACTATTGAACAACATAGATAGCATTTTGTGAGATTTTATGTGGTTTCTGAGCAGGACTATGTGGCAGCCATGGAGGACTTCCAACAGTCTTTGGAACTGAAGAGGAATCAGCCGATCGCCATGCTCTACAAGGGCCTCACATTCTTCCATAGAGGGCTGCTCAAGGTACAAACATGTATATTGTTATATTTCCTACTGTATATTGTGAACTCGTTTCCTATTAGTATTCAATTCAATGTATTTTAGCATAGCCATAAATCACAACGGTAGTTACCTCAAAGGACTTTACAAAACCATTGAATCTGCCAATACAGATCAGAGAATCAAACTCAAAAAATGCAACAATGAAAAACATATAGAGCCATTCATCCATAAGGGGCGGATGATAAATGTCTATAAATGTTGTTACATGTCGAGTCTCCTGGATCATCACCACCTTCCTGTATCGGAAAGGAAAAACTCTTATTAAAAAAGCGAGAAACTTAAGGGAGGCCCAGATTGAGAGAGGGATCCGCTTCCACAGAGGGAGGGGCTATAAATCCAGGACTCAGGCTACAGAATGAGGACAGAGGCCACGCGTTGCAGGACTTAGGCTGTTATTGTTGCCCAAGTCATCGCTCTTGTGTATCGTTTATGCTATTTCTCAATTCTTGTTTCATTTTCTCAGGAGGCGATAGAGACGTTTAAAGAAGCGCTGAAGCTAAAGTCAGACTTCATTGATGCTTATAAGAGCCTTGGACAAGCCTATAGGTACTCTCTGTCCTTCTACTGTATATGCATATTTGTAAATGTGCATTCCAAAAACCACAAACCATCTGTATACATGTTTTTGCAGAGAGTTGGGTGATTTCGAGTCGGCGATGGAGAGCTTTCAGAAGGCGCTTATGCTGAACCAGAACCACATCCAGTCTCTGCAGCTCCGAGGAATGATGCTGTACCACCACGGCTCGCTACAGGAGGCTATAGGCAACTTTAAGGTAGTGCAAATGACCCGTGGCAAACGAGAACCAATCAGAAATGAGTGTGTCTGAATGATGCAGCAAAGTGATATTTATATAGAGTCTAATTTGTTGTTCGGTTCTGCCTATTTGGTCGTTTCGATCCGTGGACCTTTGCTAACTTCCACCTTCCTGTGGTTTGGACAGAGATGCCTGCAGCTGGAGCCGTACAATGAGGTGTGCCAGTACATGAAGGGACTCAGCCACGTGGCCATGGGGCAGTTTTACGAAGGCATCAAAGCTCAGACCAAAGTGATGCTGAACGATCCTCTCCTGGGGCAGAAGGCCAGCTCCGAATACCTCAAAGTCAAATACCTGAGAGGTCAGATATTAAGATTTTTTAAATTCTTACTCACTTTGTTATTGTGCTAAAGTCAGAGATGTTGTACTTAACTCTTGCTTCTTCATTATGCTAAAGTTGCTCCTATTATGCTTAATTTAGAGATGTTATTTTATTTTTTATGTAGTATAGAGTTTCTGTGTCTAGTGCTGTGTGTGCCTCATTCCTACTGCTCAGTAACTGGTGATGCAACACTGAAATTTCCCCACTGTGAGACAAATCAAGTACCTTAATCTTTGAGACACAAGGGTGCAACATCAAGTGGATTATTACGGCTTGATGTGCAGTTTTGTAACATGTTCTAGTGACAAAGTGGATAATGTTACAAATGGTAATTTTCGGTTGCTTTCTGCTGGATTACAATTCACGACAAGGCAAGTTTATTTGTATAGAACAAATCATACACAAGGCATCTCAAAGTGCTGAACAAAACAAGATGGAGACAGTCACACAAGGCATTAAAATCATAAATAAATACCATACTTTTAAAAAGAGTAAAGAAAAAACCCCTCAGTTGTTTGCACAGCTGAACAGAACTGGTTTTAACCTGGATTTACTGTAAACATTGTCAGAGAAGAAGCCGGTGTCACATTTTCAGGAAGACCGTTACAGATTTTTGCTGCATGAATCTGAAATGCTACCTCCTCATGTTTAGTCCTGACTCTGGGCACCAGTAGAATTGAATCCGATTGTAGTTAATGTATCCGATTAAGTTAATATAGGATTTAGATTGTTTTTAATGCTCTGTTTTGTGGTGTGCTCTGGACCAATGATAATAAACTGTTGTTGTCCAATCTGTGCTCAAGAATACTCTCGCTACCTGCACTCTCACCTGGACATCCCGGTGGCGGAGTACAACGTGGACCAGAACTTACCGGGGAACTTTAAGAACCACTGGGCCAAAAACCTGCCTTTTCTCATAGAAGATTATGAAGAGCAGCCGGGACTTCAGCCACACATAAAGTAAGAGCATCGGAGACTGTGGCGCTGTGACTGGACTGAGGTGTGGAGACTGTGGCGCGGTGACTGTGGCGTGGAGACTGTAGCTTGGAGATTGTGGCGCTGTGACTGGACTGAGGCGTGGAGACTGTAGCTTGGAGATTGTGGCGCTGTGACTGGACTGAGGCGTGGAGACTGTAGCTTGGAGATTGTGGCGCTGTGACTGGACTGTGGCGTGGAGACTGTGGCGTGGAGACTGTGGCGTGGAGACTGTGGCGTGGAGACTGTGGCGTGGAGACTGTGGCGTGGAGACTGTGGCGTGGAGACTGTGGCGCGGAGACTGTGGCGCGGAGACTGTGGCGCGGAGACTGTGGCGCGGAGACTGTGGCGCGGAGACTGTGGCGCGGAGACTGTGGCGCGGAGAGACTGTGGCGCGGAGACTGTGGCGCGGAGACTGTGGCGCGGAGACTGTGGCGCGGAGACTGTGGCGCGGAGACTGTGGCGCGGAGACTGGCGCGGAGACTGTGGCGCGGAGACTGCGGAGACTGCGGCGGGGAGACTGCGGCGGGGAGACTGGCGCGGTGACTGTGGCGGGGAGACTGTTGTGATATTTCATAACACTTTTAAGCAACTTTTGTTAAAGTTAAACTCATCATTCTATCAATGTGCAGAAGCCAGTACTTTTCCCTTGTTTTGTCTATCTCAGGGGTCGGGAACCCAAAATGTTCAAAGAGCCATACAGTAGGTCCCATTCCGTTTTGTCGTCTTCATTCACGCTTCTCGGGAATCACGCAGCTGCGTGAAAAATAGTACATCTTATCGCCACAAGGTGGCAGGCTAAGTCCGCTTTAGCTCTGCCAGCGACTTAGACGCTCAGGTATAAGACTGCGTGCAAACCTGTCTAACTCCAGAGGTGCTATGTTGGCCGAATGGTTAGCATTAAATACAAGGACCTGGAGAACCCAGGTTCGATTCTTGTCTGAGGCACATCTTTTGGTTGCTTGTGGCAAAATTGTTTTTTCATTAAACAATTATTATATAACATCTTGTCTTTAATGTCTGAAAAAATCTAGGTGAAATTCACTAGTGTTATACGTTAAATATTGTGATATGTTTTGATAAACCGAACGTTACGTTACATCCTCCGCTCTGGCCCCGAGAGCAGCTGCTGTGACCCCCGCTCTGACAGCTCAGTGAACGCACTGCCGTCTGGGCTCCGAGCGCGGACCATAGACACGCGGACTCACGTCTCTCTCTCTCTGCTCGCGTCTCTCTCTCTCTGCTCGCGTCTCTCTCTCTCTGCTCACCTCTCTCTCTCTCTGCTCGCGTCTCTCTCTCTCTGCTCACCTCTCTCTCTCTCTGCTCACGCCTCTCTCTCTCTCTGCTCACGCCTCTCTCTCTCTGCTCACGTCTCTCTCTTTCTGCTCACGTCTCTCTCTCTCTGCTCACGTCTCTCTCTGCTCACGTCTCTCTCTGCTCACGTCTCTCTCTGCTCACCTCTCTCTCTCTCTCTCTGCTCACCTCTCTCTCTCTCTCTGCTCGCGTCTCTCTCTTTCTGCTCACGTCTCTCTCTCTGCTCACGTCTCTCTCTGCTCACGTCTCTCTCTGCTCACGTCTCTCTCTGCTCACGTCTCTCTCTCTCTCTCTCTGCTCACGTCTCTCTCTGCTCGCGTCTCTCTCTCTGCTCGCATCTCTCTCTCTGCTCGCGTCTATCTCTCTCTGCTCACGTCTCTCTCTGCTCACCTCTCTCTCTCTCTCTCTCTCTGCTCACGTCTCTCTCTCTCTGCTCACGTCTCTCTCTCTCTCTCTCTCTCTCTCTCTCTGCTCACGTCTCTCTCTCTCTGCTCACGTCTCTCTCTCTCTGCTCACGTCTCTCTCTGCTCGCGTCTCTCTCTCTCTGCTCACGTCTCTCTCTGCTCTCTCTCTGCTCACGTCTCTCTCTGCTCACGTCTCTCTCTGCTCTCTCTCTCTGCTCACGTCTCTCTCTCTCTCTGCTCACGTCTCTCTCTCTCTGCTCACGTCTCTCTCTGCTCGCGTCTCTCTCTCTGCTCACGTCTCTCTCTGCTCGCGTCTCTCTCTCTCTGCTCACGTCTCTCTCTGCTCGCGTCTCTCTCTCTCTGCTCACGTCTCTCTCTGCTCTCTCTCTGCTCGCGTCTCTCTCTCTCTGCTCACCTCTCTCTCTCTCTCTCTGCTCACGCCTCTCTCTCTCTGCTCACGTCTCTCTCTGCTCACGTCTCTTTCTGCTCACGTCTCTCTCTGCTCACGTCTCTCTCTGCTCACTTCTCTCTCTCTCTGCTCACGTCTCTCTCTGCTCACGTCTCTCTCTGCTCACGTCTCTCTCTGCTCACGTCTCTCTCTGCTCACGTCTCTCTCTCTCTGCTCACGCCTCTCTCTCTCTGCTCACGTCTCTCTCTGCTCACGTCTCTCTCTCTCTGCTCACGTCTCTCTCTCTCTGCTCACGTCTCTCTCTCTCTGCTCACGTCTCTCTCTGCTCTCTCTCTCTGCTCACGTCTCTCTCTCTGCTCGCGTCTCTCTCTCTCTGCTCTCTCTCTCTGCTCGCGTCTCTCTCTCTCTGCTCACGTCTCTCTCTGCTCACCTCTCTCTCTCTCTCTCTGCTCACGTCTCTCTCTCTCTGCTCACGTCTCTCTCTCTGCTCACGTCTCTCTCTGCTCGCGTCTCTCTCTCTCTGCTCTCTCTCTCTGCTCGCGTCTCTCTCTCTCTGCTCACGTCTCTCTCTCTGCTCGCGTCTCTCTCTCTCTGCTCTCTCTCTCTGCTCGCGTCTCTCTCTCTCTGCTCACGTCTCTCTCTGCTCACCTCTCTCTCTCTCTCTCTCTCTGCTCACGTCTCTCTCTCTCTGCTCACGTCTCTCTCTCTCTCTGCTCGCGTCTCTCTCTCTCTGCTCACGTCTCTCTCTCTCTGCTCACGTCTCTCTCTCTCTGCTCGCGTCTCTCTCTCTCTGCTCACGTCTCTCTCTGCTCGCGTCTCTCTCCCTGCTCACGTCTCTCTCTGCTCGCGTCTCTCTCTCTCTGCTCGCGTCTCTCTCTCTCTGCTCACGTCTCTCTCTGCTCTCTCTCTCTGCTCACGTCTCTCTCTCTCTGCTCACGTCTCTCTCTCTCTGCTCACGTCTCTCGCACCTGTTCTTCTTAAAGATGTTGTTTGATGCGGAGCCGAGAGTCAGCAACTAGATTGGTTGTGAGATTATTAAAAGAAGCTAGTTCTCTCATCTTTACAGCATGGGAAGTTTGTGAATGTTATTGCATCGGTGAGCAATTAGTGCATCGAAAAAAGTATTTTACTCGCAATAGATTAAAACAGTGTTCGCAACTGGAGCGGATTTGGGATCAAACATCAACAACAGTATACGGTAAACAGTAAACTTGGTAGTAAGTAAGAACCTGAGCAGACACAGGGAGAACATGCAAACACCACTCAGAAATACCGTTTTTGTTTTTTTTTTTTTTTGGGGGGTGTGTTTTTTTTGTTTTTGGTTCTGACTGTGATTTGAACCCAGAACCTCTTGCTGAGAAGCGAGATTACTATCCACAACACACCGTGCCGCCAAACTTTCATGTTTTATATAAATGAAAAACACACAAGTTATTGATTTATAGTATTGACATATGGTACACTACGATAAATCAAATTAGAAAAAAAAAATTAGTAGACTCTGAATGAACCAAAAAAAGTATTAATCCTGAAATATTTTGACTCCGGAAACATTAATTTATATTCACCAATGGGTAAAGTATTTTTATAATTTTCATATGCTAATTAGGGCCATTAGCGCTCGACCGGCCGCAGTGTTTCGCTGCATTCATATGCAAAGTAGGGACATTAGCATGGTACGGATGCGGCAGTTTGGAGGACAGGGCACCCTAACTGCGGGTTTTGAAAACTGCCTGAGATACCCGAAAAAGAGCGTGATTTCCTGCCGTTTAGGGTGACGAAAATCTAACTTTTCATGCAGTGTATGTCCTCTATAGCTACAAAAACATAATGGAGTCAAAATATTAAGTCCATAAACTCTGCTCGGACAACAGCCCAACTCTAACATAATAAACATACATACTAGGGCTGTCAAAATTATCGCGTTAACGTACGTTAATTCATTTTTTTCATTAATCGCGTTAAAAAAATTAACGCATTTGACGCATGCCCATGCGTCCCATAATAACACTCAGAATGCCGCGGATACATGCGTGTGTAAGATGGGGACAGAGCAGGTCTCTAGGAATTCAAGTTTTGAAAGAATACACGCGTGACCGCGGGGCACTTGTTGTTTCCTGTATGAACTCTGCATGATGAGCTGCGGGCGCCACCAGGCCCGTCCCAAGGGGGGTGCGAGGCCCTGTGCGAACTCGAAACGCGAGGCCCTGCCCTGACACTTTTTTCCCAGATCTGAGGAAAGTTTTTCCTGTTATAATCTTTGACATGAATTCAGCACCACCTCGCGCGGTGCTTGACGAGATCAGCACGCGTGTAACCGAGTGTCTTCGCTCCTATGCAGCGTTTGGCGCGCGCACGTACACACGCACACACACTCTACGTGCAATATTGGTCGCGGTCTTTTTAGCTGACATGTCTCTTTCGTCCTGTGGCAAAATGGCAGAGCAACTCAAAAGATTGAACCAAAAGGAGTCTTTTTCTTCTAATAGTTAGATTTGGGCAAAATGCGCCAAAATGGCTATGAGGCGGAGTCAATATTATTATTTTCTCATCAAATAACGTTTTTGCCATGCCTCCACACACTCTGACAACATACACTCCTCCTCCTCCACACTGACAACAACAAAATACTCTTCACCTCCTCCTCCACACACTCTGACCACAACAAAAACACTCCAGCTAGCTAAAGCTAGACATACAGTGTGTTTGCTAATGCTTTTAAAAATATGTTTTTGATGTGGATATTCGGACTAAACATTGGCAATAGCAGCGCTCACACACCTGTCACACCGCTGATCCTCCTCCTCCTCCTCTGCTCACACAAAGGGGTCTGCTCCTCTGCTCACACCTGTCTCTCTGCTCCTCCTCCGCGAGTATCCATCTCTCCTACACTGCGATCATTCCCGTTACTTTCTTTGTATCTCACTCAGACACTGCTAAAGTTATCTGACAGTTTTTTCGGAGGACCCGTTGCATACATAGCTGCCCGCGCGCCTGCCTGTTTACAAATCGCTTTTGGTGAAAATTTGACTTTACTTGTAAAAATGTTCTTTTGATCAAACGAAATCAAAGAGGTCCAGAGAAAGGGGTTTAGGGTTCCAAATTTGGAGTGCAGTCTGCCCTTTGGGGACCCTTGAACTAGTGTATTTATAAAATAAAATAAAAGGAAGGAAGATTGCGAGGCCCCTGTGTGGTGCGAGGCCCTGTGCGACGGCACAGGTCGCACAGCCCTTAGGACGGGCCTGGGCGCCACAGCGCTCTGGACCGTTCCCACTTCCAGCGGCTGTGATCACGGCGAACGGCGCTGCGTAATAGGATCATATCCAAGACCACGCACAGAACTATTACATAACTATTCTCTAGTGTGCGTACGTGTCTTTGCGTAACCGATGCACACAATATGTACAGCGCTGAAGCTGGACTGCGGAGCCTCAGTCTCCTC